ACGCCATTTATAATATTGACGAACACGTTGGTACAATCGGTGTTGTCCTACATGTCCTCCTGTGGGTGTGTTGTGGTGATTATGTAAAATTGTTTGAATTTCGTTAACATCAGTAATGAATTTTGGTTCCTTAAAGATAATTATTTGCAAATCTTTCAAAATGTTATTTGCCATTAATTTAAAGTAATTTAAAGGTACTATTTGAAAAATTATATCCTCTGCAGAGAGCGATATTTTATGCGTACGTCTTGATTTCGTGATTTTCTCAATTTCTGGAAGAGCAAATTCTAGCATCTGACTTCCATTTCTTACATCTTGATGCACTTGTGCGACAAGCTTGTTTCTTTTTCTCACGTTGAATTTTATTATATTGTCCACTACGGCTGTCGACAGTTTTAGTAAATTTTTTATTTCCGTAGGACTCTCGGCTTCATATATGCGGGGTTGATCAGACTCCCTTTTTTCATCTTCATAATTTTTATTTTCCTTATTTTTATTCGGAGATATCGATTTTTTCGTCATCGATCTCGTATTAACTAGTAAAATATTAGCTTTAAGTTGTTCCGATGTAGTAACAATGCGTGATAATGCGTCTGCTGCTACGTTTTCCTTACCTACCATGTATACAATGTCGAAATCGTATCCTTCTAGATCGATACGCATCCTCGTCAATTTTGACGTTGGTTTCTTCATATTAAACAGATAGACAAGAGGTCTGTGATCTGTTCTTACTGTGAATCTTCTACCATACAGCTAAAATCATTCAAAAGTTGAAAAGTATTGACACGGTGTGCCCAAAAAGTTCAAATATTCATAACGCAGCATTTCAAAAATTGAGTTAAATGTGTGTTAAAAACAGCATAAAATATGCCCTTAACTAATAGTCGATGTAGTCCTATATTAGTTCTAAATAATTCTAATATTACTCTGAGGTTGATCAGATTTACAGTTTAATTCTTGACATCATACAACACACAACACCCAGTTGGCAATTTTATATTGAAGCAAAATTCACCAGGCTGAAATAGGAATCAAAGCCTAACATCGTGGAACTCACACACAATTTACCTAAACTACAAATAACTCCACTATTCGCATGATCATTATGTTAAAGAATAATTTTATAATATTACTAAAATGAAAGTCTGATAGCTTCATTTTTGAAGCCTCAGGATCTTGCAATGATTCTAAATTTAGGAATTTATATTTTCCTGCGTCCCAGATCATGAATTTTTTTGTTAGTCTGAATTTACTAGGAACTCTTCAAGGATATCTTCACCTTTTTTTAGTTCAATTCGAATCATCCTAGAATTCCATTATGTTGCTTTTCTATATTCCCCTAAAATAATCTTGAAAATATCTAAACTTTTCCAGTAACATTCTTAGAGTTCTTCGCATTACCTCTTGTTATCTCTTATAAATCACTCTCCAATCCCACAGCTCCCGTGAATTGGTATTAATTCTAAAGAATTGGCTCAATTTTGTGTCCATTTTTCTCTATGCAATTCTTAAAATATTCTTAACAATTTCTCTTCTCTTCTCAGACTTATCCAATAATTCCCTTTAAAATGCTTTGTAGGTAAGATCAGAATTGTTTTGAAATCCTTTTCAGTATTACCTAAGTACTCAAGTACTTTGCCAATATGGTTTTGAAAGTCTTCCAGAAATTGCGCTTTAATTTTTTTTAATTTTCTCTCCATAGAAACATTGAACAGAATTCCATTGAAATTATTCTCACGATTCGTATCAGCATACTCCTTAAGTTTCATCATAAGAATTTTTCATGATTTCATTGTATTTCCTTTATTGACAAAATCTCCATGCAATTGTCATCAGAGTTGACAAGGCAATGGACACCGTCTTCAACCAGAGGTTGCACAGACTGATTATTTAACACTAGACAACGGACAACACACCACACCAGAGGAGTCGCGTGCCCCATTTGTTTACCTGTGCACCAAGCTTTGTTCATTATAGTATTCCACCACATAGGGGAAATGTAGGTAATGTCGGCCTACATGTCCCTAATTTGGGTCCATCGCTAAAAGTCTGCTATTTATCAATTTTATCTAGATGAACGCATCATTAGAACGGTACTAATGGATATTTTTGGTCGCGATTGAAAATTTAATCGATTTCTGAATTTATCTATAGGCTCAAATTTGGGACATGTAGGCCGATATAACCTACATTTCCCCTATTAGTTTTTGTTTTATTTTTCAATGCTCCATGAATTCAAGGGACATTTTCTCCATTACTATATTACCCAAGTAACAATTTTGGTTTTATGAGGGTTCTGTAGACTACGATTTAAGATTTTAGAATGCTACAAAACCTCTTTAAAGCTTGCAATTTTACTTGGGTAATCACTACCTAACAATGGCCCTTTTCGCGTTAACCGAAGTAGGAGGATTTGCAAAACTTAACTAATTCCAGCTAAACATTGCATTAGGTTCTAAGTTATATTGATCGATTATCTTCGTCGACTTTCTATTTCGTTAATAACTTGAGCACATAACCATTTCTTGTTGTGTTTGTCATATTAGATGCTAGATAAAAACATCTTTTATCGATCGGTGTGCTGAAAGTACATGGGAATGTCTTTGCATGGCCGTGGAGATTTAAAGAGAAAGTTGACGGAGATAATCTGTCAATGTTACTTAAGACCTAATGCAATGTTCAGCTTGAATTCTCGTTTTTATCACAAGGCTAACTCTTGCGACTTAAGTGTAATAAAGAATGTCCGTCAAACAGTTCCGAAAACATTTTTTGATACAAAACAGTGTCAAAATCTAAAGAAATTCATAGTTCCCTGGGTAGCAAACTTGAATTAATCAACTCTTTATTGATCAGAACAACACTATCAGAATAAACCAGGGAACTATCGGTAATTGAGAGATTCACAACTGACAAGAGAGTGAGAGGGGCTTTTGCGCTCTCTTTCTTCATTACTCTCTTTGTCTGCAATCAGATATCCAAGTGCACAGCGAGAAATGCACACTTTGGGCACCCATACATCACAAATGTTCTTCAAATTTAAACTTACACATTCAAACCGGTATGCAAGTATGATAACGTCCAAAGCGTACCAGACTGCTGTTTCCGTGTTGCTCCCGTTTGACGCGTAACTGCAGAAAGCTTCAATTACAACCAGTGGTGCAAACCCTACATAGCGTTTTTGATCTAATTTCCGTCCTACTAAGCACAAGCCGCGCTTTACCTCTCTGTTTTGAACGAGCTTAAACAAAAAATGGAAAATTTCTGTCAAAGATGACTTCTAAATTTATTCACCTTTCCATACGTACCGTTGGATTTGATAAAGAGTCATAAATCGTTGAGATATTGTTTAAAATCTAATACTGCTTCTTGATTCTGAATTCGTTCTACGAGTTTCAATTCCGTCCTAACGCATTGAAACGCCATTAGATTTTCTTCGTCCTACGGATAAACGTAGAAAAAGGGGATTCTCTTGAACCGCTTCTTTTGTTTTGAGAACAATGAGCGTAAATATTCATACAATGCACTCTAATAGGATTTATGTTGTAGCTAAAGAACTAACGTATCTGAACAAACCTATTATTGATTTGTGCATGGTGAAATCATTGATATTATTGATCTTTTCTGATCGATAGAACGGAAATGGGCGATTACGACGAAGTAGCGCTCTACCCTATTGTTTAAAATTTGTGGTATGTTTCAAGAGGTGATAGAAGGTCTGCTTGGCTTACATCAGGCATTTGACCATTCACCAACTTGCCACCCGCCACCCAAAAAAGGCTCGCTTTTAGGTGCACTATTTAACGAGTTTTGTCATGGTAGTGTTATCGAAATGGTTAGAAAGCAATGCATTAGGGATTAGGCAGACCATCCGAACTGAATTTAACCCTTTTTGAAGCAAACCAAGGTCAAAGGTTTAATTGAACCACACTATAAAATAGTGTATTCATGGTCACTTGTGGTCTAGAGTAAAGAAGTACAGCTATAATGTGACCATTAAAATCTATACTAATCTAAACGCATTTTTTAAAATTATTTACACCTGTGTTGTGCACAGGTTGCTCATGTGGACGCGACGCCACTGCACCACACCCATTAGACCAGTAGGGACATTTTCAGGTTGCGAGAATCGAACCCTCACTTCATGGCACTCACAATACGCCTAAACGACCCCGAAGCCCACAAAGATGGATGTAATTCTATTCAGAACTAGCTTGGAATTCTCCTTTGATTTCACAAAGAATTCGCCTCACACTTAACTGTGAACTATTTTCAGAATTACCTTAAAATTCCAATAATGTCCAACGCTGACGGCCTTTAATAATTACTGTACCAAGTTTGGCTTTTTATTTTTTTATTAGAGGGTAAATCAATTGCAGTGATATTTTTAAAGCAACATGTTCAAAAAATCTGAGAAGATCTGGAACATATTTAAAAAATCTGGAAATATACGTGGTCTGCCTGTGTATCTGGCAAGACGACTAAAAATTTGGTAAATCCAGATAAATCTGGAATGCTGGCAACGCTAGTCTGTTCAACGCTGTGATCAGGGTTCCCAGATTTAGATATATTTTATAATCAATCTAATTGAATTGCTTAAATTTGATTGAACAGTTCAGGTATTACCGATGTCAGCGATTGTTTCTAAGAGTGTAGGATCAACAAATCAGGATTAATCAGGATGGTGTTAGGTTATTGAGGGCCTAAAAAAAAGTCGTCACTGACATTATATGCCGCAAATTTTGGAAGTGGTGAGCGGGAGGTGGGCATCATTTAATAAAAATCAAGATAAAAATTTCAATAAAAATCAGGAAAAATTAGCCGTTTATCTTAAATCAGAATATATGGCAACCCTGGCTATGATGCTTGTTTGATCATTTAGACTAAAACAAATCGTTCCTATTTTCCCAATCGCCACCCCTTATTCGTCGGTGTCATCGTAAATGCGTGTATATTTCATCTTGGTCGTTTTTCTTCCTATCTCTCACTGTATCTCGCCGTAGATACGAACAGGGCCTGGAGGACTACGAGGAAGCAGCGGATCGGGAGGAACGGGAAAACAGCCTGCAACAACAACAACAACAACAACAGCAGCAGCAACCGGTCGGCGGTTTCCTGATGAAACCGATCCTAACAACGCTATTTAATGTGATGAGCAGTGCTTTCTCGTCGAAGCGATCTTTCCAAGTGGTTGGACCGGATCCGGCGTCGGTGTTGAGCGAATGGAATCGGATGGCCGGTGTAGATAACGGCGACGACAGCAGCAGCGGTGGTGGACCATCAACAAGCGATGATGCAGATAATCAAAATGGTAATGAATATTTTTTGGGATGTTTATTTAGCATATTTTCGAGCGGCCTAGGTTGGGAGTTGAAAATTGGTAAGAGACAGAAAGTTTCCTCATCGGATGGGGGACGGGATGATGTAAATGTGAAGGATCCAAATGTTCTCAGCAGTAGTTTGTCATGACGATAATAGTTGGAAATCAATTTCCTCTGAAATCAAAGTTCTAGGTAAATGAGCTTGATATGAAGAAGATAACTTTCAGGGTGACATCCTGAGCAGGAGAAAATAAGTTATGAATTCCAATTTCAGGTATGATAATAGCATAACAGGCAACCTGAATTGGTATTGACGAGCTTGAAATCAGTGATAAAATACCAAAAACAATAACTGAAAAATGTTCTATGAGTAACGAATTATTAAAACATTTAGTTATTATAATGACCGACGGTACTCAACGCTTCATTTGATGCCAGTATACCCTAATTTGTCAATTGAATTGCCTTCTAATACTAATCCTGTCACTCTTTTAGGTGTTATTTTTTTTCTAAAAAACTGAAAGATCACGCGGAATAATGTCAAAACAAGGTTTTATACCACAAGCATACAAAAATAAGATATCATTCCACATACAAATATTCAGATGTTATCGGTCAGTAATCGGTTCTTGCCCGGGATACACTATCACAGTTTTATACAGCTATGGAAACGTAATATTAAAACGATGAAATGTTTCTCAAACTTTGTAACATGCTCTTTTCCTGCGTAGCTACTCAGATTTACTGTCCCACCCGTGATTTTTTAGTCAGAGGAGCGGAGCGACGGGCAACAGGCAACAGTCCAAAAAAACTTCTTTTAGAATCTTCTTCTGTAAGTTTATTTTAGAAGCTTCTTTTGGAAACGTTTTCTTTAGAATCTTCGCTTGCTGTTACTCCGCTCCTCTGACTAAAAAATACACGGACATGATAGTAAATCTGAGTGGCAACAAAATATAGGAGCATTTTTCCAAGGTTTAAGGAGAATTTCATCGTTTTAAGTATTGTATAAAACATGTTATCGTTGATTTGTGGTAACAGTTTGCTGTAGCGGTTTATGAAACCGATTTTACTTGACTGCGTGATCCAAATGTTGGATGCTTGTTTTTAGTCCACATATTGTGGAAAATTTATTTGAAATCGATTATAAAGCCGACAGATTTCACATATATTCTATATAATACAGTAATCGTTCAGGTGCACGAATCAAGAAGGCTAGGTTGCTTTTGTGAGTTTACCAAATAGTTGATGATCAAACCAGCTCGACTTGGGGACTTGACACTACTGAAGAATCCATATTTTATCTACGACTTATATATACGGGAAAAAATCCGAACTCCGAAATGGGAAAAATGTCTCATGATTTCATGAACAAAGTGTTTTTTTAATGTTATGAAAATACACCATGAATATTCATGATATCATGAGCAACTTTTGCGTAACGCAGCAAACATTCCCAAAATCATGGATCATCCGAGTTGAAATCATGATCTAAATTTATGGGTTTAACTTTTAACCAAAAATGTTAAAATATAAAGCATCAGACTGGATTCGAACCAAGAACCTTGGGATCATTAAACCCATTCTTTGACCACTAGACTATCAGAAATTGTATAAGATGGAAGACAAAAGGCGTATAACAGATACCTATGTAGTGCGGTATATGAATACGGTTTGCCAAGGTTTGATTTCATAATGCAGTGGAGTCAAAACCGATACAAGCGTTGCACGTAACGCTTGTAGCGGGTTTGATTCCACTGCATTATGAAACCATGAATTTCCATGACGAAATCATGAATCATTGTAACGATTTATGGGATGGCAAGTTTTTTCAGTTCATGATTTTTTATTCATGAAAATGGAATCGGATTTCTTTCCGTGTACTAGTCAATAGGTACCATAGCTTACGACTTATATACTAAGTAATAGGTACTAAAAATCAGCAGGTTTCCAACGATCATGCATAGGCGTAGCTTGAAAATTTATCTGGAGGGGGCCTTAGGGGGGCCTGCTGCACTTTTTTTCTAATTTTGCAAAACTACGGTTAAATAAAAACTTACTCAAATTGCGTCAAGGCTACTTATTTTGGGGTACATTTTTTCTGTGGCCAATAATATGACATTGAGGCTTTCTATAATTTTAATGGTGAAACAATAAATTTGTTTTTATTTATTCCATACCAACGATTGGGACCTCGATCGGGAGAGCCTTAAACGCTTACTGATGTTGTACAAGCAATGATCGTTTGTTCATGGGTTTTGTAATAAAATCACAGTAAGCATCTCAAACTTAAGAAAATTCTCAGAGTTAGGTAATTTCATGAATTTTGTAACTATTTTTTTTTTTAGATTTTGAGTATTTCACCATCAGTCAAATTTCAGACAAAGGAACCAAAATTAGATTCTAGGAGTTTGCATTTTATAATTATATAAAATTATGGTTGGTTCAAAGCACACATAATAAATTTAATACATTTAGGACGTAGGAAAATGTTCAAGATGCACAGTTTTTTAACGTAGGACTACGTCTGTGATTTCTATATGGGGGTACACTTTGTGAAAACCGAAAATTGAACATGTAACGAAATTATGAAAGATTTTGAACGTTGATAACTCAGCTGCCCCTGGACCAATTTCAATAATTTATCACCAATCGATCAGAAATATTTCTACGCATCGATAGCACTGTTGATTTTTAACAAAAAATATTGATAAAATTGGGAAACGTCAGGCATTGTCCAAAAGCGTCGAAATAGCTAACAAATCCACTAATTACGTACATACATATGCTGCAGATGTACAATTCTTAACATTGTGAATGTTGAAACAAAAATAGTTCCATAAATCCATATGTTTTCAGAAATGTGTAACTAATAAAACAGGATATATCTGATTCAGATTGTTAGCCTAAATTCTTCGAATTTAGAATCAATTGTCCTAATTATACGACTAGAATTAAATTGCAAGATCCTTCTTAGACAGTCATTTAATAAAAGTTCTAGTACATTATTTTTAAAACAAATATTTTTTTTTAATAATTATAATATGTTTGACCTAATCAAAAGTTTAAAAAAAATCTCCACAAAATAAATGCGCCTGATAAAAATAAAAATCGCCGAAATTTAGTCCAAATATTTTTTTTAATCTTCTGGTCTTGAAAATTTGTATTTCAAGATCTTAGAAAACTAACCTAGATTCTGAAACTCACAGCATTTCTCCAGATAAACAATCTTCGAGGTAAGAAAGCTAAAAAAATTAAGATTTAATTTTTTTTTAATCTTGACCTGTGGTAAAAAATGTGAATAATCAGGTTATAATTTAATTTCATCAAGCTTTAAAGATACCGGATTTTGAATGTCATGATTCTGATATTTTAAGAGAAAAAATAGTGATAAAGCATTTATCCAGAACAATTTTTTATTCGACTAACTAACATTCGGAGTTATGTATATAAAATCAAGATTTATTTATATAGGGGAATTTACGTGTTCTTGGTAATCTAAGCAGCGACCATCTTTCTATAGCCTTTTTCTCTCAGGAACGCACACATATGCAGTATTGGTTTGTTTACAATCTTTTGCTGCCAGCTGCTCTAACAATTTCAGTCAAAAACTGTTTTGAAACGCTTTTACAAAGCTCCAATCTTCTCTAGTGAGAGCGACTATTGTGGGCAACATCTTTTTATTCGGCAACCGTTCTATTTGAGCTGCGTGTTAAACAGCTTTGCTTTCATCGGCAACTCGAAATCAGCAGCCTTTTAGAGTGCGTGTGTTTCATTTCAAGAAAACCCTGCTAGATTGCTTTTTCTCAGTGGTAAAAATATAATCAAATTGAAGCTGAAAGCCTAAAGAATCGTTTTAATGCATTCAGCGAAGTGTTTTCTTAAGAACATCCAGTGAAATTAGCGTTCCAAATTTGGGTAGCCGAAAATAGTCTGCCATGCCGGAACCGTCATTTCCCCTATCTAATCGAAAGGTAAGAGCTTTACCAGTTAATTTATTTAATCAAAAACTACACACAGAAATCACAGAATTTTTTATATGTGCTAATCCATGCAGTTGAATTCCGGGCATACAATTCATCGAAAGGAAACAAATGTATACATATTAGGTATGTGTAGAAATTTACATTTCTGCCTGGAATTCAGCGGTTGGAGTGCAAATTTTTGACAATATAGCTAAATCACCAAGGCACGGGTCTTCCCAATAGAGAATGTACAAATATGACCATAAAATCAAGATTCATCATTGAAGATTCCTTCTGATTCCATTGGCTGGAAAACTTTTGAATGCTTCCCGATCAACCTACTACCGAATATCCAGTGAACTTTACTTATATCTTTGACTATATGGAGATTTTTCGAATATTTCCTGCTGTCTAGAAAGGATGTCTGAAAGAATATCCTGTAACTTATGCAACGTTTCTTGAACACCTACAAAACTTAAGTTTTACAAAATTTCCTCAACTTCTACGAAGAATTTATTCCAAATTCCATATTTTTCCCATCTCTCTGAATTCAACAAAGATCTCCGAACATCTTTGCACTTCTGGAAACATACCTAAGACATCTACAAATATTCTTGAACACCTAGAAAGTTCCTTGAAATTTAGCGAAGTTCCCAAAACCGCTAAGAAGTTCATGGAGGTTTTTTGGAATAAGATCTCTGAAAAACTGCAACGAAGTTCCCTAAGCTGAAGCAAAGATCCCTGAAGTTCTTAGAAATGTATTGAACTACTTTTAGATCCTTAACAAAATTCTCTGAACGTTTTCAAAATTCCTTACACTTATATGAAGTTTTACGCAGCTCCTCAAAATGCTACGAAATTCGAAAAACTTATACAAAGTTTGCTGCACTTCTACGTTTCTCGTTGATTTTCCGTGAACATGAATGAAATTTATTGAATTTGTACGTAATTTCCACAACTATTCCAAGACCATGAGGCTTAAAACCTGAAATCGTGGAGAGGTTCCCGATGAATAATGTGCATCCCTA